CAGATCTGTGTTCCGCTATACCGAGTTTCGAACCGTGCGGCGTGATTCCAATTTCGTCAAGCAAGAACTTCACAACACAAACAGTACTATTTTCCTTCCCCCTACCCCCCCCCCCCCCCCTACCCCATCTTTGTCAAGCAACTACAGTACTTACTGTTTTGTAGAAGTCTTGTCAGTCTTGTCACCCTTCAGTTGGAGCACCACTAGGTGAATTACCCTCTCCCTGATTGTTCTGGGCTTGACTCCTGGCAACTGGTATGCGAGAGCTGTTAATATGTCACCCCGTGCTTTGGAGCCAAACGCAAAAGGTTTGGTGTGCCCACTTACTTGGCGAAGAACAGCGCAGTCCTCTGCAACTCTGATGTCCTGGGATAATGGCAATCGCGTACACCAATCCTGGTGATCAGGACCTACAGAGCAGCAGCAGCCAGCATTCACAACAGCACAGCGTTGAATTCAACAACCACAACCAAGAGCAGGGTGCAGAACAGACAAGTAAAGCTTTATCACAGCAACTTGATCAGGATCTTGAATCGCACCAACAGAAACAAGGGGAATACCAGATGTACCACCCTGGTGACTTTTGCTCGTTAAACTCTTTAGGTAGCTTGAAGGCTTCCATATGATCTACTGTTATATGAATGATGTCACCTTTGGTCAGTTTGCACTGGAGCTCACCTGTCCAAAAGCAGAGTTGCTTGTGATGTGAAGTCAGACGCTGTGAATCAATTTCCAAGCATCTTCCGTTGCTTGGATTTCGCCAAAGTAGGCGTCTGAAATCGCAGATTTATGCTTCACAGAAGTCTCCTCTCCCTTCCGTTTCTTCTCCTTGAGGAGGCCATTGATGAGTTGGTTGCTCTTGCGAATTTCCGTGTTGTTCGTCAGGTCGCAATCAGACTTGCGGCGGACCTGATCTCCTGTACGTATCTTTGGATTGCTGCCCTGGCTGACAAGTCGCTCCTCCTCAAGTACTTGCTTCTACCCTGTTTCCGCATCTTCCCGTAACATGATTCAATGAGGTGCAAGACGGTGAAGACACGAGGACGCCTTATCAGCTTGTCGCCAAGTGTAACACCAAGTTGGAGCACCACTAGGTGAATTACCCTCTCCCTGATTGTTCTGGTTATACTCTCTCCCTGGTTGTTCTGGGCTTGACTCCTGGCAACTGGTATACGAGAGCTGTTAATATGTCACCCCATGCTTTGGAGCCAAACGCAAAAGGTTTGGTGTGCCCACTTACTTGGCGAAGAACAGCGCAGTCATCTGCAACTCTGATGTCCTGGGACAATGGCAATCGCATGCACCAATCCTGGTGATCAGGACCTACAGAGCAGCAGCAGCCAGCATTCACAACAGCACAGCGTTGAATTCAACAACCAAGAGCAGGGTGCAGAACAGACAAGTAAAGCTTTATCACAGCAACTTGATCAGGATCTTGAATCGCACCAACAGAAACAAGGGGAATACTAGATGTTCCACCCTGGTGACTTTTGCTCGTTAAACTCTTTAGGTAGCTTGAAGGCTTCCATATGATCTACTGTTATATGAATGATGTCACCTTTGGTCAGTTTGCACTGGAGCTCACCTGTCCAAAAGCAGAATTGCTTGTGATGTGACAAGTCGCTCCTCCTCAAGTACTTGCTTCTACCCTGTTTCCGTATCTTCCCGTAACATGATTCAACGAGGTGCAGGACGGTGAAGACACGAGGACGCCTTATCAGCTTGTCACCAAGTGTAACACCAAGTTATAGTTGTAGTCGCCGTGTGCTTCGCTGCGGCCAATCAGCAGGCGAGATGAGACTTCTTTATTTTAATGCACCCGCGGGAAGAGCAAAAACAGTAGACAGGACAGCATGTATGCATTGCATAACATTAGTGTTTGGATTCCATACTGGTTATACGAGAAAAACAATTATGCATGGCTCACAGCCCATAAGCAGAGAAAACAAAGGGTAGAGTGTGTGCGCGAATGACTGGTCCCTCGCAGCTCAACATGAAACCGTGACAACAGTTTGTCACTTCTTTTGGTGCTTCATGTCCTTGTAGGTCCATGAAATAGTTATTTTATATTAATGTTTGCTAATTTTGCGAGAAGATCAATTGTGGACAATTAGAAAAGATCAAAACGTGAATATTAACCATCGTGAAATCCAACTTCAACAGTGTTCCACGAAAATTTGCCATCGTAAACTAGCTGGGTCTGAGAAATCGCGAAAATTTTGTGACCCAATATTGGGCGGTTACAGTATCCGGTAGATAGTAGACGACAGGGCTCTGTTCTGTTTTCCTGCAGAGTGTTGTACGGGTGTGTGCTGCATACGTGTGCATGTCCAGTGTTCAGTGCAGTCATGACCACATACTGTACGTACTGGCACACAAGAATGTGGTGAAGAACCGTGCTGACTGTTGAGTGTGACCAAACCACTCAAACAAAGCCGAAATGAGTTGCGCTCATTTCGTTTGCCTTTGGACAGGAGTGACTGCACTTCTCTCTACCGTTTGTGTTGTTGTCAACTGGAAAATAGTACTACCGTATTTTACCGGTTGTAAGTCGACCCCGGTTATAGGTCGACCCCCGTATCCGGAGGTCTCAATTCTGCTTTTTAAAGTTTTCACCCAACGAAGCACTACTAACCACTCCCTGCTACTAACACATCAACAAAATCATGTAAACATTCCTTATTGGAGGGTATAGCGTCCTAATCCTTGAAAAAAGGCCAATAAACTGGCAAAAGTGTGTACACATGGTCTACTCGTGCATGCAGTGCAGGTCATTTTTTTTAAGATACTGATAGTTCCCGGTTATAAGTCGAATCCCGGTTGTAAGTCTACCCCCACCCTTTCTCCTTCTATTTTTAGTCGTAAAAGGTCGACTTACAACCGGAAAAATACGGGATGTATCTGTGACGGGTAGTAGTTGCTAGATATAAAAGCTGTTAGTTACGCAGGGTCTGGTCCAGCATAAGCCGGACAAGGGTAGTTTGAGTTACATTATCATTTTGGTCATCTTTTGTATTTTCATGACATGATTGTATCGGTTTATTAATTTTGCCGTACAAGAGGCTCAGAAAAAAAAAGTTTGAGTTACATTGTACATTGTACTTGTTGCCATGTGTGTGTTTCCTTGCATTATGCCCAGCCTCAGTACCCAATTCCCATCAACACCATCTGTAAGTTATAGTACATGTACCATGTCCTCTTGCTTGTTTTGTCTACTGTGTATACTCGTATACCCAACTGTGTGTCTGTGTGTGTGTGTGTGTGCGTGCGTGCGTGCTCGTGTGCGTGTGCGTGCGTGTGTGTTCCTGAGTGCGTGTGTGGGGACATAGCTGCCAGTCCAACAAGTTCGTCTCTGGTAGGACCACTTTTCAATCAACCAGCCATGTTTTTGTAGTGAAGAGGGCTTTACCCTATGGTGTTTTTACACTTTCGAGATTGGATATCATGACCTTTTTGGGAGGTAACACAATACAGTCATACAGTCAAGGAAGAGAGGACGACCAGCGGTCAAATGGACGGACAGCGTGAAGAAGGCAAATGGAGCAGACAAGCTAATACAGGTCAAGCGCTGGACAGAGACAAGGACGGAATGGCGTGACATTGTTGCCACAGCAACCCGAATGGGTTAATGACTTAATGATGCTGATGATGTCACTCTATTCCGTATATTGGCGTCACTACACCTGATCTTTTGGAAAGGACTTACTGGGGTACTTGTATACCTAATGACTAAGTATATCCCATATCCTCAGTAGAATGGAAGGGTGTTGCCCTGTGTTATCCTTAGGTTGTCCTTGTGTTGACTTGTATGGTGTATGTTGTATGCTACATTGTGTGTTGCTACTGATTGTGTGTTGTCTGCTGCAGCTGGGCCGGTGGCGATGTTGTCAGTTACTCCTGATGTTCCTATTGCCTATTTGATGGCAGCTCAGTCTCAGCAGTCTATGTCTGTGACAAGCAGCAACGGCGGCACACTTGCATCAATCAGCTGTAATCAGATGTTCGCCATGAACAAGTGCTCTGTTGCTCTCAACACTCAGTCGATACCAGAGCCACAGATGGAACTCGATCCAGAGTTAGGTATGGACCAGGGGCATGGACCGGGGACATGGACTGGGGACATGGACTAGGGACATGGACCGGTGACATGGATCAGGGGCATGGACCAGGGACATGGACCGGGGACATGGACCAGGGGCATGGGCTTGGGACATGGACTGGGGACATGGACCAGGGTTATGGACCAGGGACATGGACCGGGGACATGGACCGGGGACATGGACCGGGGACATGGACCCGGGGACATGGATCGGGGACATGGATCAGGGATATGGACAAGGGACATGGACCGGGGATATGGACCAGGGAGGGGGGTATTGTGCATCCCCATCTATACTCTCACAGTTGAGACTTGAAGACGGGTCCAGCTCAATCTGGGCATGCATTCAGCATGTTGATTATGCTATTCAGCTGCTGCTGCTGCTGCTGCTGTACAGTTTCAGTGAGGTCGTGCAGCCAATGTGGACTGTTTTCAAGCAATAGGGTCTAGGGTTGGGTATGTAGAGCTGTACCGTATTTTCCTGGGTGGTGACAGCACTGGTGTACGTGAATAAGCTCTCCGGTCCCCTGCAGAATTCTACATTCCATCTTGTCTATATTTAAATACTTTTTTTAGTCAGTATGGGGTATAAACTACATGGCCACAGAGATACACCATGAATTTTTTCCATTTTGGTCAATATTTTCTGTAATAAATGCAATGCACGTCTACCCGGGAACAGGATACATATGTAGTACATGTAATATCTAATGCTTTAAATATGCATGACTGTGTGGTATGCCTTTGTGTGATATGCCTGTGTGTGTGGTATGCCTTTGTGTGATATGCCTGTGTGTGTGTGATATGCCTGTGTGTGGTATGCCTGTGTGTGGTATGACTGTGTGTGGTATGCCTGTGTGTGGTATGACTGTGTGTGGTATGACTGTGTGCGGTATGACTGTGTATGTGTGGCATGACTGTGTGTGGTATGACTGTGTGTGGCATGACTGTGTGTGGCATGACTGTGTGTGGTATGACTGTGTGTGGTATGACTGTGTGTGGTATGACTGTGTGTGGTATGACTGTGTGTGGTATGACTGTGTGTGTGGCATGACTGTGTGTGGTATGACTGTGTGTGGCATGACTGTGTGTGGCATGACTGTGTGTGGTATGACTGTGTGTGGTATGACTGTGTATGGTACGACTGTGTATGGAATGACTGCGTATGGTATGACCGTGTGTGGTATGACTGTGTGTGGTATGACTGTGTGTGGTATGTCTGTGTGTGGTACGACTGTGTGTGGTACGACTGTGCGTGGTATGATTGACTATGTGTATGGTATGACAGTGTATGTGTGGTATAACTGTGTGTGTGTGTTTGGTATGACTGTGCGTGTGTGTTTTCTCAGGCACAAAGAGTGGTGCACGCTATCGACGTCTAGGTGAACCACTTGATCAGAGCATAGCTCCATCACCGAATTGCTTCACAGTCACTGAGGACTGTCGGCATATCATAGCTGCTGGATACTGGGACTACAGCCTCAAGTGTTTCGCTACTGAATCAAGTATGTGCTATGCGTGTGGTGCTGCTGCTGCTGCTGCTGCTGCTGCTGCTGCTGCTGCTGCTGCTGCTGCTGCTGCTGCTGCTGCTGCTAGGAGCTTTGCTTCTGGTAGTGCTGGTTACTATCCTAGTAGTGCTGGTAGTGCTGGTAGTGCTGGTAGTGCTGGTAGTGCTGGTAGTGCTGGTAGTGCTGGTAGTGCTGGTAGTGCTGGTAGTGCTGGTAGTGCTGGTTATGCTGGTGGGGTGAGCAGGGTAGGAGGGGAAGAGATCATGATTGTGTGTGTGTCGGGGGGGGGGGGGGGGGCCTGGAGATGTGCTTGTGAACTGTCACCATGGCGTATTGGCGTTGTAGTTTGGGGTGTCTGATCACGACGGTAAACTTCATTTTCTTGTGAGGTGCCTGCAAGGCAGTCACCACTCCCCAGAGTGCAGTGTGACGTCCCAATTGATCGTGTAAACGGTCTGAAACGGAAAGGCGCAAGAAATACGGAATCAAAAACGGAAAACTGGCCGTGTGTTTGTTGTCGTGTAAACACAGCCTTAGACCCGTTGAATCACACTGTTGAGCAGTACTCGTTGTTCAGGTGATGCTCAAGTATTGTGCCACCTATCAACCTTTTTGTTTGTTTTATGCACTTGAAGTACTAATGCACATGCATGTGATTTGTGTATGCGGACGTGTGTGCACCCGTGTGCGTGCGTGCGTGCGTGTGTGTGTGTGTGCGCGTGTGTGCGTGCGTGCGCATGTGTGTACACAGGTCGTCTTGTGCAGTCGGTGTTTGGTCATCGTGACCTGGTGACCTGTGTAGCCTACTCAGCAGACACTGTGGCTGGTAACCGTGCTATTGTGGTGTCTGGATCCCGTGATGCCACCGTATTGCTATGGCATTGGTCTAACACGCTTCACAGGATTATATCTTCTGATCATGACCAGGGAGGTAAGGTCATACTGAGAGAAGCTACCACTAGAGCTTGCTGTGTGATGCGCGCTGTGCGGTGTGCAGTGGCGTGGTGTGCAGTGGTGCAGTGGTGTAGTGTGCAGTGATGTAGTGTGCAGTGGTGTAGTGTGCAGTGGTGTAGTGTGCAGTGGTGTAGTGTGCAGTGGTGTAGTGTGTAGTGGTGTAGTGTGCAGTGGTGTAGTGTGCAGTGGTGTAGTGTGCAGTGGTGTAGTGTGCAGTGGTGTAGTGTGCAGTGGTGTAGTGTGCAGTGGTGTAGTGTGCAGTGGTGTAGTGTGCAGTGGTGTAGTGTGCAGTGGTGTAGTGTGCAGTGGTGTAGTGTGCAGTGGTGTAGTGTGCAGTGGTGTAGTGTGCAGTGGTGTAGTGTGCAGTGGTGTAGTGTGCAGTGGTGTAGTGTGCAGTGGTGTAGTGTGCAGTGGTGTAGTGTGCAGTGGTGTAGTGTGCAGTGGTGTAGTGTGCAGTGGTATAGTGTGCAGTGGTGTAGTGTGCAGTGGTGTAGTGTGCAGTGGTGTAGTGTGTAGTGGTGTAGTGTGCAGTGGTGTAGTGTGCAGTGGTGTAGTGTGCAGTGGTGTAGTGTGCAGTGGTGTAGTGTGCAGTGGTATAGTGTGCAGTAGTGTAGTGTGCAGTGGTGTAGTGTGCAGTGGTGTAGTGGTGTAGTGTGCAGTGGTGTAGTGTGCAGTGGTGTAGTGTGCAGTGGTGTAGTGTGCAGTGGTGTAGTGTGCAGTGGTGTAGTGTGCAGTGTGCAGTGTGATATCATGATATGCATTGTAAATGTGGACACTGCTCATTGGTGCCGAGCTGGGATTATCGTTATATGCTGCAAGTCTACAATTTTCCAGAGCATGCTTATCTCGGCTTCCGAGGGCCACCGCACTAAGATTTGAGCCCGTACTGCACTAAGATTTGAGCCCGTACTGCACTAAGATTTGAGCCCGTACTGCCTCCATGAAGTGTAGTAGGGTACCGTGAGTGCTGGGTCCCACTAGCCTGTATAGTTGCACAGGAAGCACGAGTTTTGAAATATGAAGATGTTGAACCTTCTCTGCTGGGATGACGTCATCATAGCTTTGTGGTAGAGCATTGCTGGGGTATTTATTATGGTTATTTTTATGAGTTGTTGTTATTTTTGTCTTTGTCGTCGTTGTTGTCTTTGTGTTGGTGATGTTTGTACAGCGGACAGTGCCAGTGCGCAGGCTATCCTGACTGGTCATGAGCTAGCTATCGTCAGTGTGGCGGTCAATGCTGATGTTGGTAAAGTCGTCTCATGCTCACAAGGTTAGCTCATTGTTATACTCATCGCCATGCACACTGTGAACTTTGTCTCAAAGGCACAGTACATTCTGCCGACAATTCCTCCGTGCGTGTGGCTCAATGGCCAAGTGGTAAGGCGTCGGTCTTGTAAACCGAAGATCGAGGGTTCAAACCCCTCTTGAGCCTTTTTATTCGTATTTTTCAAGTGGCTCGTTGGTATTTTTGCAATTTGAAGGTCATTCTGCGCATAGAGTGCTGTGTTTCCACGTGTTGGAACCACATGCTTGATCGAAGTGTCTTCTTCTTTTTCCTTGAGGCTTGAAGACTATTCTCGATGCCATCTGAGTTCTCTTCTCTTCACAATTCAACTCAAATACTCGAATGCTGCCTACACCTGGAAGATGGAAGCTGCGAAAGAACGGTTGGAGCGAGACTAGCTGCAGTAGACTGATGAGGTTGCTCGCATGTGGCTGGTTGTACATCTTGTGCGATGTGGCTGGTTGTGCATCTTGTGCGAGTACGGTATGCTGCCATGTCTCTCGAAGTACAGGAACCGCTTCTTCGTTCTCCTTGCCCATAGCTTTAGCCAATGACACCAGCACACAACATGCTTGCATGTGTACAGTTCTAGTATCAAACGCCTCAAGTGATTGGATGTTGCGGTATACACTGATGGCCATGATCTTGCCATATTGCGTCCCGGCTTCCTTCACGTGGACAATTTGATGTGACACGTCCACAGTGGTTGGTGTACACTTTGAACTATTTGGCAGGTTGGGATATTTATTTCATCATCTTGCCTGCATAATGTTCATAGAAAATGCTTGTGCACGCGTTCTTGAAGCTATGAAGAGCATAAACAAATGAAAAAAATCATGTAATGTGACGCACATATATGGTTCTAAAGGTAGGTCGACTGTACTTACCAAGCAGTTGGTATGAGATGTGGGAACTGCGTGGAAGTTTGAAGCTCTGCCAAGTTCCATTGGCTTCAACTGAACGAAGTTTGATCCTCGTACTTGTAGTTGATAAAGGGCAAAATGTTTGGTGCTTGACCTCAACCTTTGCAATGGTGGACATGACGTGATTTGTGATTCAACTCTCGGCGACCGCGTCAACTACAAGAGTAGATATTTTCCTGTCAGAGTGTCAGTGAATCACAGCTGAGTGATCACGGGCAGCGTTTCTGTACCGTCAAATCACCTGTTCACTTCGTATGGACCTACTGATGTCCCCGGGCCATGTGCCATGCGAGCAACAAGCAAGACGTGACCAAAGTGGAGCAAGCACTGTAGCAAAGGGGGTGGCAGATCAAACCCAAGGGGTGCACAACAATGCTCCAGAATTGTATACAAAAGCAATACCAATGGCAAACCTCGCATTCTGCTTTCTGTGCTCTCCCAAAGCCCTTTCCAGGTCCCCTGGAGGCGTTGTGAAAAACTTTCCCCTTTTCCGCCAGGGTAAACATCACATTGTCATTTTATTTGTCTTGACAACTTTTCCTTTTTGCCAGTTTTTTTCATGTCGTCCTGAACATAATTTGCCCTCTCCCACACCCACCCACCCACTGACGATCCTGGTGGGTTTGATGACTTTCAGTCAAGTTGCGCGTAGGCAGAAGAATATGCGTGGGCGGCTCAATGGCCAAGTGGTAAGGCGTCGGTCTTGTAAACCGAAGATCGAGGGTTCGAACCCCTCTTGAGCCTTTCAATCTATTTTTTTCTACTTTTTCTTGAGCAGTATTGGTGAACGTGTGTGTGACTGTGTTCAGGTGGCCGTTGTCTAGTGCACACCTGCCATGGAGAAGTGTTACATTCAGTGCAACCTAAAGCCACTCGTGGATTACCTACGTGTGTTCGTCCTCATCATGTGAAGATCACAGCATGTGGTCACGTTGTACTACTCTATGCTGATGGCAGTGGTGTGTTGGCTGTTTTCTCCAATACTGGAGAACAGCTGGCATGCAAAATGCTAGTTGACCAGGCCTTGGTAAGCGTGTGTGTGATGAGACGGTGTGCACTTGCGTTCATTCATCTGTGCGTGTGCGTGTGTGTGCGTGTGTGTGTGTGTGTCTGTGTGTGTGTGTGTGCGTGGGCGTGGGCGTGGGCGCGCACGCGCGTGCGTGTGTGTGTATTTCTTGTTTCTACAAAGTTGATGAAAAAACTTCAAAAAAGACATGACCCTCCTTAGAGCAACTTTTCCATCCCCCTTGTTGAAGGAAAGAAAGAAAGCAGCACTGCCTACAATCTCACCAAGAGGGGAAAACACCAACCAATCTCGGACAGGATAGAGATTTTGACTTACTAATGAATGAGTTTGGAAAGTACCGAATTTGTATGTGCACGCTGCAGCAGTTTCTCACCTTCTTGAATTTACCTTGCTACTTTCCAAGGAAATAGTCTCCATCCTTAATTGTGTGCTGTGTGGTGGAAAAAAGCAATTTTGGAGCCTGTCACCTTTCCTATAATTATGTTCCATGCACTACATGTACACTGCTATTTACTCGGCACTGGGCTATGTTAGCTGATAGCGACGACGATGATGATGATGATGATGATGATGATGATGATGATGATGCCCCGCAATTGCTGCTGCTGCTGTCCGCTTTGTTGCAACATCATGGTTTATATATGTTTGTGTGTCCGTGTGCGTGTGCGTGTCCATGTACACCTGTGTGTGTGTGCGTGTGGGTGCGTGCGTGTGTGCGTGTGTGTGTGTACATATGTACATGTGTATGTGTGCATGTTCAGGCTGTGGCAGTGAGCCAGGACGGCCGCCATCTGGTGCTAGGTGGCATTGCACGCACAGTGGAGGTGCGACGCTGCTCTGACCTTGCGTCCATACTCGTCTATCCCGGTGCAGAGAGTAGTGTGCGAGCACTGACAACTACAGCAGATGAACGGTGAGTACATGCAGTTGCAGACTTTCAGTACTCCACTGCTAGACTAGTGCAGACCTGTCCGACCATACGTCACCATCGTGCTGCGTTTATGCCAACATTATTCCCATGTTGATGCATACCGTAATGTCTCGTATAAAAGCAGGTGCTTACGGCCGTATAAGCCGGGGTTCAAACCATGCTTCTATTCAAGTTATGCTTCTATTCAAAACATGCTTCTACGTCAACATGATCAGTCTACACTGTGCAGTGCATACTGGCACGTATGTACTTGCACATGTACTTTGCAGAAAGCGGCTTCTATTCGAATCATGCTTCTGTGTCACAGCGCGCTTGGAAAATCGGCTTCTATTCGAGTCATGCTTCTGCACAGGTCATGCTTTTATATGCGACACTACACTATCTAAATTCATGAGCATTCTGGTGGCCGTTCTTCCAGCTATTTTGCTGGCCAGTGAAGTCGGACCACTGGCTCAAGAACAGCACCACGAGTTGCACTGTTGCTGAGGTGTGAACTAAGCTGGGTTGCAGAGCTGCATGGCGTCAGGGGTTACTTGAACCTGGTCCCTGGGCACAGAAAGCGTAGCGGTGGTCACTTTTTCACTGGCTAGCATTGCAGTGCTGATTGAAGTAGATGCTAAACTCAAAATACCCACAATCCATGGGAGTTTTCCAACACACCGGTTGCTGCTTGGAACTTCTGCCGGGGTGATGTGAGATGGTAGGGCGGGCGTCTTCTTTGCTATTTGTTTCTAATGGCATGCGCCGCACAACTTGCAAAGTAGAATTTGGAGCGCAATTCTTTTGTTGTAGCCATCATGTTATTGTCACACATCTGATGTTGATTGCCTCGCTGCTTTCTCTCCCCTCTCCTCTCACACAAGCAATTCAGCATAAGCGAAGCTGTGGACGCAGCATACTGCTGCTACACTTCAACGCGGGAATGCTTATTAAAGGGGAAGTCCGGTGAAAAATTTAGATTTCAGGGTCGGTAGAGTTTCGGCCGCTGAGTCGAATGGTGTTGGTCCCACGTGTCTCCGACAAAGCGTTCTCGAGATATTTCCGTTTGAAAAACTGAGTTTCGGGGGCTGCGCCATGACGTCATGCGGCCGCGCCACACCCTCCGCAACGTCATAGCGTGCAGCTAGTTCAAAAGGAGTGCGTGAAAGCAATAGTGTCAGTGCTATTTCGAATGATTTGGCGACCCATAGTAGGTGGTGCAAGCGACTCCGAAGACGTAACTCCTTGTGAGAGTGAGGATGCAGCCATGGCTGCCCTTCATGAGTTCGGTCTGGGGCTGAGAACCTCGGTATTCAGCTAAAGAAATGGCCGCGCGGGCCGGTCAAGAGTGAGTGCTACTGAGTTTCCGACTGATGAAGAAGCAGCAGCTATTGCAGACGAGGCTGATATAATTATCAGATTGCTGGAGAGCAGAGTCGCCAAAATGGAGAAGAGTGATGCGAGTGCTCTAAATGTTGTTCCATGCCGATTCGCTTAGACTCCAGTAGCCTGCCACATGGTGATGTTTTGGTGCGAACTTGGCATATTTCGGACTACTCAATTGGAGAACAGTGCAGGCTCTTTGAGCCACGGGCACGACTCATCGCTCGCAACACTACGGGATCTGAAAGTTCTAGGTCCGGGAGCTGTTCGCTGTTTTGTCACTTGTCACGGTTGTGCACTCATCGCTGTAGCATAAAATAATGAGGCGGGAGCGGAAAACTAAATTTTTCTTTCTCATCTCAAAGCACAACCACCGGCACCGGCAAGGAGAAACGCTCGTTCTCTGACTACATGACTGTTCGACTGATACGAGTGTAGTACATGACAAGTCCGTGTGTTGACTAGTTTTCTGAGTCTCGTGAGTTGTGACTCGAGTCTTGTTGTACCTACCCCAGCACGGCAGTGCGGGAGGAGTTCCGTGTGTGATGAGTGTGTGCTAGCATGCACGCAGCGCATTTGTAGAGCCGTAGAGGCCAGTGCACATGGTGCATGCCGACAGAAAAAGTCCAACTCGGAAACGGCTAAAAATACAGTATAACCTCGAGGTTTACCGAGCTGAAAATCACAGGGTACGTAGTGTTTGTAACACTGAATCGAATGGTCTTGGTCCGAAGAAGCTGCGACAAACGGTTCCCCAATCGAACGCGCTCCGAATTTGGCCGTTTTGTACACATCTAGATGGTGTGGCTACCTGGCTGCACGCTGTGACGTCATCACCTGGATCTGGGTGAGGCGCGCTCAAATTCGCACATGTTCGATTGGGCGTATCTGACGAACCATAGGCGGCAGCCTCCTCGGACAAAGACCATTCGACTCAGCGCCCCGAACTCTACGGACTGTGAAATTTAAATTTTTCACCGGACTTCCCCTTTAATAATAATCCTCAGATGGAGAGCCAAGGATTAAAATTAAAAAGGTCCTGCTTATAATTGTTAGTGTTGGACAAAACAGATAACTTATGGTCCTCTCTTTTTTTATAATAATCCTGGTTGTCACATTTCTTGTGTTTGATTTCTTTTTCTTAGGTTTGTTCTGGCTGGTTTGTCATCAGGCAGCATCGTTGCCTATCCACTGGAGTTTCCACGCAACTGAGTGCCACCTTTCTAGGACATTCTCTTTACACTTGTTTATTACTTACAGATTACTTTGGAGATTGAGTACAGATTACTTTTCGAGTATATAGCATTTTACTCTCTTGGCATTTAGTATGGCAAATTTTATCATCCATTGCTTTTATTTGTACAGTATTCTAGCAGAATTTGGCATTTAGTAAATTATTTCAGAAGACTATCCGTACCGAGTTGTGGCGTTTTGTTCAAATTTCTGTTGTTCGTCATTTGCTGTGCCCAGTGTGATGTATGGTTTAAATCATGCTGCTTGCAGCACATGCACTGCACTCCTTGATAGTATCCCTGTTAGCATGTGGCATTTAGCAGTGCGTTTCGGCACTATATTTTATATTTTTATGTCCTTTTGTTTTCACCGCTTTCATCCTCTTGTTTTCATCGTTTTCGTCCTTTTGACAGTTTTGTTTATTTGTAGACACTGTCGTTACCACTCAGCATGTCGAAGGGTTGTAAGAAAGTCACCTGTTGCAGTGCTACTCTGCTGTGAGAGGTCTTTTATTGAAGAAAAACTCGGCCTAATGTTTGTCGTCAACAACGCCGGCGAATGTGTGTGTGTGTGTGGGGGGGGGTGCTCTTCACTCTTAATCCAATATGAGTTGGAGGCATAGTGGGATGGTCTATAGATCTAAGACCATAATTAGGAAACAGGGGATACCAGGGTCGCGAATGGGATTTTTTTGGGCTTTGACCACTTTGTGGTGGGTCTGATCTACTCACCTCCCACCGCTTTAGGAGCTGCATCTGCGCCTTGAATCCTAGAGGGTGGTGGCGTTCCTTCCTGCGGATGCGGAAAACTCGGCTTCCAGCCGAGTCTCACGCGAACCGTGAATTTTTTCTGATTTGATGAATACTTGTGTATGTTCGTAAGTACTAGCTTTCTCTACTGTCTTACTGTTGCCTGCCACAGTCAGTGTAGTCCTGCAACCATAATAATCAATTTCTCTGCCGCGGAACGTATTCCAACTCATTGGTACTACCAAGAGTAGATAAACAGTGTTTATCTACTCTTGGTACTACCAGTAGTAAGGTAACCAGGAAATCTTACGTCCTCCCCTACTGGATAGAATTTTAGTCCGAGACCGGGACAGAGAACACACATACCATGTACCATGTATACGCCCGTCGCAAGAGAAGCACGCAAATCTGCAAATGCACTGGATGTGCACCCACAGATTTTCTCTTTATAGCAACGATAGCGGATCTGATTCTGATCGAAACAGATCAAGACAAGCGCCAGATAACTGTCTAATCCACACAACTGGCGAAGCCATGTGCATGTGAATCGACCCCCCAATGCACACCTGGTCTACACCACACGGAGTACATCGGAATAGGACGGCCAAGACAGATACCTATGCACACCCTACACTTGCCGCTGGGGTAACCAATAGTCTAGACAGCACGCTGCTTTGATCAAAGCAGACACTAGATCGATGCACTGGTACCTTGAAGTGGAAAAAACATACACACACACACCACACACACACACACACACACACACACACAACGGACACACACACACACACACACACACACACACACAGTATGTGCTGTACACAGCCGTTTTTGCAATTTTGGTAGCGAAAGGGGAATTCCCCTTTTGAGTCGAAACAAATGGCGCGGAACCAGAATGATGAAAATAATAATTACAGTATTCTGAAAGTGACAAGAATCAGTATATCGCCCGCATTGTTGCCTGTTGGACAGTTGACAGCCAGTTTCACGATGTAGGTTGGGCCAACAAAGTCAAAGGGTCCAGTTTGGCATGGCCGCCCGCCTGGGCATCGAAACCGTAGAGCCACACGGGCAGGCATCTGACTGTTTCATTGAAATATTATTATTGCCATTAGGATTTGGAACTGGGAAATCCGACTGCATCGTATTGTAGATGGAGTCCAAACGTGCTCGTGCTCGTGCTCAACCCAATAGTAGTGCAGGACGTAAGACTAACAAGCCTACAACTACGAGTAAGGCGAAGGGAGGCTTTGCAAAGAAGTCCAAGCAGCTTCGACTAGATCAGTTCGTTCAAGTCAGCCGGCGGGGCGCTGCGCGTGGGGTCGACAATCAGCTTGCCAACGTCGAAACAACAACACCAGCAGCTAGAATGGCGGGCGTTGAAGAGCGCCACCAGACAGCCAGTCTTCAAGGCAACAACTTGGACTTGGAACAGTTCCAGACTCAGGATGGTGAGCCTGCTGCTGCTGCTGCTGTGAGAGATGACTCGCATGTAGTTAATAATATCAGCATATGGCGGAGGAGTCGTCCAGCGCAGGTGGGTGATGATTATGATGGTGACAGCAATGACGATAACGACGCAGGTTCAGCTGCTTCGAAGAGTCTAGAGCTGCAGCGGAGCGGGCACATGTCAGACAAGCAGACTCGTGTTGGGCGGCTGAACAAGAACTGGCTATTCTACTCTGGACAAATAGCTACAGTTCCCCATGGAGTGTACATTGATGACATCCACAGAGATTGGTGGCAGGACCTCGGTCATTTAGAGTACGACCACTCCTATATCCAGTGGCTTTTTCCAATAAGTGAATCGAGTGGAATGAATTGGTCGGCACAAGCACTGCAAGCTGATGAGGCTAAGGCGATCACCAGTGATCCAGTGTCACGCGGACGACTCCTCAAGTCTTACAAAATGATGCTGAACTTCTACGGCCTGAAGCTTATCGACGAGCAAACCGGCGAGGTAGGCCGTGCCGGTAATTGGAAGTCGCGCTATGCCAACTTACTGACGCACACGCACAACTACTTACGAATCACCCGTATCATCAAGTGCTTGGGTGAGATGCACGCTATGCAGTGTTACCAAACTGCATTGGTGGCGCATCTTGTGCGTGAAGTTCACATCACCAAGGAGCTAGTGGATGCCAAGCGAAGTCTGAAGAACTTTTGGACTGAAGCTGTGTGTGACAGGAACGAGCGTGAGCGTTTCAAATCTCTCATCGCCAGCAATGGCAGTGGCAGTACGGTGGTGGTGAAGGTGTGTGAAGACTCCAGCATGCGTGCTGCTGCACAGCTAGACAATGAGGAGAAGGACAATGAGGAGGAGGATATGGACGGTGAGAGTACTGATGAATACTCTGAAACTGGCGGCGGTGGATCAGACCTGTATGATGAACACGATCATACTGAGGACACTGCGCCGCGCACTTCCCTGCCGCATCAGCAACACCGTGCTAACAGTGGAGGTAGCAGCAGCAGCGGTGGACACCGGGTCACAGCACCAGTGCTGGGGACGGCAGCCATGAACGTTGGCCGTGCTGTTGACAAGACAGAAAAAGACAGTGGTGGCGGCGACAGCGGCAGTATGTGTGACACGATGGAGTACTCCGTGCCGACGACGCCAGGCAGTGCCGCCGGTGCAGGCAACAGTGATTCTCCACACCAACTACAGTACACTGACATTGAACAGTTCTCCAGTAGTCCAGACTGTTCAGCAGCAAGTATGGATGACGAAGTGCCGTCCCCTCCAACAGCCTCATCACAACACAGTGCAGCAGCAGCAGCAGCACGGGACGACGGCATGTTTGCTGCTGCACATACAGCCGCCATAAAGCAACTAGCGGGAAGTGAGAGTGAGCATGAGACGGACAGCGATGAATGGTCCGACACACCGCAGGATGATCTTCCTGCCGCAGCCAGCAGGTCTGCGACCAGTGATCGGCAAAGCACAGCCAACAAAAACACCCTGTTCTACAGTGGCAAGATTGCTGCAGCACCATGCAGAGTGTACATTGATGACATCCACAGAGATTGGTGGCAGGACCTCGGTCATTTAGAGTACAACCATTCCTATATCCAATGGCTTTTTCCAATAAGTGAATCGAATGGAATGAATTGGTCGGCACAAGCACTGCAAGCTGATGAGGCTAAGGCAATCACCGGTGATCCAGTGTCACGCGGACGACTCCTCAAGTCTTACAAAATGATGCTGAACTTCTACGGCCTGAAGCTTATCGACGAGCAAACCGGCGAGGTAGGCCGTGCCGGTAATTGGAAGTCGCGCTATGCCAACTTACTGACGCACACGCACAACTACTTACGAATCACCCGGATCATCAAGTGCCTGGGTGAGATGCCCGGCATGCAGCTTTACCAGGCCCCACTAGTGGCACATTTGGTTGAGGAAGTGTGCGTGACCAAACAGCTGGTTCA